AGCTTGAGATAAGTTATTAGTAATCAAAACTATTCACTAAAGAGAGATTGTAACTAGAGATAAGTCATGGAGATCAAGTCTTACCAGAATCAAGCAGAGGATCTTGTTAAACACTATTTATTAGCAGATCCATTTCTTCCATATACTTCTGTTCTTGCTGGAATCTTTCTATGCAAAATGGTAAAAATTATGATTCTGTTCACTTGCAATCTTTCTCTGTTTTAAACGAACAGTGTAGCTTAACGCTCTTTTTCGATACTAGGTCTATGATCTTACTGAGTCATTTAGCTCAATTCATATCAAATCATACTCAGCTCTTACAAAAATAAAGAGAATTGAATGGAACAATCGGTGAGTAACCATTTGTACATATGCTCTTTGTTTCATCTTTTTTTTTTTATATTTGTCACTTATCACTTTGGCTTATGATGATATAACTTGGCAGGGGAATTTCTACGGTCCATGCGATCTTTATCTCTTTCATGGCACTCTACTTTGTGTTCTTCGCTGATTTGTTTTCTGATCAAAGAATGCTTCATCAAGGCCTTATGGTGTTTCGTAGCTCACCTCTTTCTAACTTTGGTTTAGGAGTAAGTTTTTGATCTTTCTTCATTTCTCATCTTTCTTAGTATAATCGTGTCCTCCTGATATCGAATGGTACTTTGTTTTGCGTAGATATCAATTGGTTACTTTATCGCGGATCTTGCAATGATCTTTTGGTATTTCCCTTCTTTAGGAGGATCAGAATATGTAAGTAGACACAAGAAAGTTTATGTGTTCTCTCTATTGGTTTCAACAATCTTGATTTTTGTTTGAGAATCGCGGTTTTTTTGTTTCTAGATTTTTCATCATTGCTTATCTGGAATTGGAGTAGCTTATTCTCTGTTCACTGGAGAGGCTCAGCTTTACACATACATGGTTTTAATCTCTGAATTGACTACACCAGAGATCAATCTTAGATGGTACCTTGACATTGCTGGTTTGAAGCGGTCTAAAGCTTATCTTATTAATGGAGTTGCTATTTTCTTGGCTTGGTTGGTGAGTTTTTTGTAAATATTTTTATCGCTTCGAATGTCTTAAAACTTAATTGGATTGAAGCTCTCTATTTGAAACTTGATGTTTTGTTTTGTAGATAGCAAGAATTCTTCTGTTCATCTACATGTTTTACCATGTCTACATACACTATGATCAGGTAACCAAGATTTCGGTTTAATCATCTCAAAACCCGAACCGGTTTGCAAATCAAAACGGTCTAGCTCATCTATATATTTTGTGGCAGGTGGTACAGATGCATACATTCGGTTATCTACTGGTTTTCGTCGTACCGATTTCATTGAGTATCATGAACTTGATGTGGTTTGGTAAGATTGTGAAGGGATTGAAGAAAACTCTTAAGAAAAAACAGTGAAGGAAGGAAATGTGTAAATACATAGAGCCCTTAAGTAGAATTTTACATGTTCAAAAACAAGAAAGAAATAATGTAATTTTATTTTATCTTAGAAAGATTTCAAGATTACTTGAGAATCTCACTCTTCATAATCGTCTCTATGCATATTTGGAGCTTATCGAAAGAATCTCATAAAAATGCCTAGACTCGGTTTATATGATTTTAGATTAACTGTAATTTTTCATTATTTAATTTGGTCTTTTTATTCAATTTCGCCAATTGCATATGTTACGTGGTTCTCCGTTAACGGATTAAAAACAGTGTTTTGGCAACCGAACAAATATCATTATACATTTTTAACATACATAAAAAAAACATGATACTTTTTTTTTTGTCATCTGATATATTTATTAAACTTGGTACGATATCGAAAAGATTACAAAGCCGAAACCAGAGGTTAAGCCGACGGACAAATTTGAAATCCCCAGATACAAAGCCCATACAAGAGACATCAAATGAACCATGAAATTCAAAACAAGCTATCTAGGCTAGAACTTCACCGCTAAGACTACTAACAATGGGAATTAACACATGTTCAGCCACAAACATTACCCAAAGGCAAGGAAATGGTGGATGGACATAGACCAAACCAGACTACAAGAAAGACTAGCCAAAGAGCGCGAGTTCGAAAAACCAAAAGTCCAAACGACACACCACCGAAACTGAGCAGAGAAGACACCACCGCAAGCAGACACATCATGAGCAAATTAAAAGGGACCACAACAAGGAGAGCAATCAAGAAGAAATTCTTTCCAAGCGACGAAAGCAACAGAGAATGAAGGCGCGATAACATCCCAAATAGTCTAAACTGAGCATCGAAACCGCTCCCCTCTTCAAAAACCGTAGACAACAAAGCTTAAAGTGAAGACTTTTCACCAAAGAAAGTACCCAAAGATACCGGATATCACGAGCACAAAAGATCAAAAGTTGAAGGACGCTAAGAGGAGGCGCGTTCATGAACGGAGAAACCGCATCAGAGGACAAACCACGCCTATCATTCCACCAAAGCCCAACTCGAAGAACATTAAATGACATTGCCCATGAACCGGAACAAAGAACCACTTTCTAAACAAACCGAAGCACCAACACCAATGCCACAATCCCTATACTTCACCGGAAGAACTGAAACTCACAAGGAAAATACACAAAAGAACCGACGACAAGGAGAAATGAACCAAAAGTCCAAACACTTGAGGCAAGCAATTCATATAAACAACACCAACCAAAGAACAACAAAGGAAAAGGTTTCATCACCATACCACGACAAGGAGGATAAACAGAGACAAGATCACGAGAAGACTCAGGGCCCAATCAAAGCCAACCTCCGAACGCAGGCCTCCTACGAAGAACAACTCCGAACAAACAAAGTCCAGATCTGAGCCGACAAAGGTAGAGAAGGCGAGCTCCAACGAAACGAAGACCAAGCGACGTCTAACTAAAACCAAACCGTCCTCAACCACCATCGAAGACCTAAACAAAGCCAAACCACCGAAACCACAAGCCAAGGGCCACGGATCTGAAACCACTCCTATGAAGAACTTTTGATTGAAACCTAGAGGTAGAGAACAAATAGATTTAAGAGACAAAGCATAAAAAACAAGAGCTCCAGCCTCGACACTATGAAAGCCACCGTAAGGCGGAGCCAAAAACGCAAACTCGTCGGAAAAGGTACTGTAGCAAAAATTGTCTTTTCTCTGCCTTATCGGCTCTATTTGAAAAAAAAAAAATATTTTTGAAAAGTAAGTTTATCTAATCCCAAAATTGTACTATTAACATAAACAATTAACACAAATATGATTAATTAAATGATGGTTAGTATTCCAAATGTAGATTTCGTGTCATATTTACTTGCCGTGTAACAA